GAAGAAGAAGCAAATCTTGCATGGAGAAAGGCCGGTTGTTGGGCGAAGAAGAAGAAGCAAATCTTGCATGGAGAAAGGCCGGTTGTTGGGCGAAGCAGAAGAAGCAAATTTTGCACGGAGAAAGGCCAACTGTTGCGCGGAGAAGTTGTAGGGATGGGGTGGGCTGCTGTTCGTTGGAGAAGAAGACTTTGCACAGAAAAGAAGCAGATTGAAAATTCTAGGGATTGCACTCCCAAATCGTGGAGTGGGAAGGAAGAGGAGAGATGGGAGAAAAAGGAGAGTGGTGGGATTACAACATGCCGTGTCCAAGAATGCTTTTTATTGTCTAGTTGGCATGCCACGTATTGAGTGTATAACGGATTATAACGGGCGTTATGTTAGACTTAACGGATGGTTAGGATTCCATCCAATTGGGTCTTTATTTGAGAATTTGCATGAGTTTGAGACCTTGATTGAGCATAATAAATGTTGAGGACCTCAATTGAGAATTTGGTGAAAGTTGGGGTCCTTTTCCAATACTTAAGCCTAAATTATATATGTAAGTATGACAATCTATACTTATTTTAGAAAACTAAAGTGCAGTCCATCCTGCGTGGACTGTACCACAACACTCTCTACTTATTTTATGTTCTTTCATGTATCGTGACAAATAAATGTTCAAATCTTAGCTGCTTCTCATTTTGATGCCCCATGCGCATGTGCATTTGTGCATTTGGAGCTGTTTTCAAGGTAATGACTTTTAAGAACCAGAAAAGAACATTAATCATCCATCTACATGTATTGAAATCAAATGCGATGCTATTTAAAGGGCCAGCTTCTAAATAGACAAGATGTAGCAGTTAAAAGACTATCTAAGGGTTCCAACCAAGGGGAATCCGAATTTACGAATGAGGTCCTCTAAGTGGCCAAACTTCAACACCGTAATTTGGTTAGGCTTCTTGGTTTTTGCTTGGAAGGAAAAGAAAGACTTCTCATCTATGAATTTGTGCCAAATGCAAGCCTTGATATATAACTTCATATTTGGTAGGTGACTTTTCCCTTTTTTACTGGAGTCCAATTTCAGTTTTTCCTTCATGAAATTTTACATTTGTGTTTCATGCTTTTGTAGTTACTCTCATTAGATGTTTTGGTCATTTAGAAAGCCATCATTTAAAAAAAAACAAAAAAACAAATTGACATCTTATTTTGTCTTAATCACATACTAGCATGAACTATGAACATATATAGATCCAACAAAGAGTGCAAAATTGAATTAGGGAAGGCAGTATAAAATTATAGGAGGCATTTCTTATAAAATTATAGGAGGCATTTCTTGAGGGTTTCTCTATCTTCATGAAGACTCTCAATTGCAAATTATTCATCGCAATCTTAAATCCAACAACATTTTACTAGATGAAGAGATGGATTCAAAAATTTTAGATTTTGGCATGGCAACATTGTTTGTAGTTGATGATACTCATGTCACTACAAATAGGGTTGTAGGAACATAGTAAGTATTACAATCTTAGCACCAACATTTCATTAGTTCATACCCTTTGTAAATTTTTATTCATAGTAATTTCTTAAAAATGTCAAATTGCAATGAATATATGATTTCAGGATATATTAAACATGGATATTTCTTAGTTAAGACAGATTTCTTTAGTTTTGGTTGGATGATTTTGGGGGTTGTGAGTGGTCAAAAGAATAACTCTCCTCACAATGAGGAGAATGCTACAAATTTAATAAGCCTTTTAAGTATACGTGATTAACACACATAAATTTCAACATTTTGAAAGATTAGTTTTCTCTAGTGTAAAAGGAGTTCTTATTTTTCCTTTTGCTGCAGGCATGGAGAAATTGGAGGGAAGGGACTGCACTACATATTGTAGAACCAAATTTGAGAGCGGATTCAACAGCTCAAATGATGAAATGCATCCATGTCGGATTACTTTGTGTGCAAGAAAATCCACTACAAAGACCAACTATGGGATCAATTATATATTGTAATGCTTACCAGCAATTCTATAGTTCTCCCAACACCCTCACATCCTGCCGATTTGTGTTGCAAAGCACAACTGATGAGTCAGAAATGTCATTCTCGCATGAATCCCAACAATCCAACACTGGACTTGCCCTGGCTTCAATAAACGATGTTTCAATTACTGGCCTACATCCAAGATAGCTAGAAGTTGAAGACCTGTATCAACAGTTGTTTAAAAATTATCATCACTAACAAGTTATGTCATTTCTTTTTTGGAACAAGATGTTGTAGTTTCATAGTGATTTTAATGGAAGAAAGGCACATACGCAATCTGTCAACTGTCAATGACTCAATAAAGAAAATTTTTAAACAGAAGAACAGAAAAAGGATGTAAAGTCTGTTGTCTTCTCTTTTAGATTTGCTTATAACACGAGCTGAAAAACTTCTGCAATACCAATTTAATTAATCTAAGAACTATGCTTACCAGTGACCAAGGATGCTTTAATAACTCATTTCTATGGCGGCTTGTGGTCAAAATTCATCCATGGCAGCTGTGTCACAGATCGACAAACTCCCATCTTCATCTATTCATAATTAATTTCATATTAAATTAATGGCAAGTTGCTGCAACTTGATAACTTTACAACCTCATTAGACATAAATGGCTATTTTCCCTTGAATGAATGGGTTTTGAAAGAAGACAAATGGGATGTTCAAGACTGCTTCTGATCTTATTTTTCTAATAAATCTCATTTCTACCGCCCACCCTGACTTCAAGTTTGCTTGTGTTAACAATGGCAACTTCACCACCAACAGTACTTACGATACCAACCTCAGCCGTCTGTTTTCTCAGCTATGGGTTCTACAATTTGCGCGTCGGCTGGGCCCTGGCCATGTTAATGCAATCGGACTCTGGAGGGGAGACCAAATGGAGGACATTTGCAGAAGTTGCCTAAACGAGACAGTCGTCGAGCTCCAGCAGCGATGTCCCAGCTACAAAAAGGCGATCGGGTGGTCGGAATGCTGTACGCTCCGCTACTCAAATCAATCCATGAAAGGCAGTCCTTTCGCTATAATTTCTCATGTTAACAACACCTCGCATGTTGATGGGTTCAATCAGGCGTTGAGCTCCTTGTTGACTAATTTGAGCAGTCGTGCTGCAGCTGGAGGCTCTCTTCGCAAGTATGCGGTAGATAACGTGATGGGTCAGGGTTTCTTTCTAAGAATTTACGCAATCATGCAGTGCACTCCCTATCTGTCCCAGTAAAATTGCAGTGATAGTCTGACAACGGCAACCTCTAGGATCTCCTCTGACTGCTACGGATGCATGCAGAGTTCTGCAACCCAGCTGTAATTTAAGATACGATACGGACGTATTTTTTGCAGCCATAGATGACATTCCCCAGCCATCACCACTGCCGTCCTCACCCCCGCGAACGGGAGGTAAAGTTCGCTTGCTTTCCTTTTGGGTAAACTGACTTTAAGCCCCAAACTCAAATGGTATTTCTTAAAGAATGCCTCCAACTTTTATTTCCTTCCAACTGTTTGTTCACCTCTAATTACAACATTACGATTATACCCCAATAACTTTTTTAATATTGGGATAGAAAAAGGGGTTCCTTTAAATGGAGAAACTTGTAATTTCGTAATCATGGTTGCTTTTGGCATATTGCTAACATGGACAGGACAACTTTAATGCCATTGCCTGACCTCAAAATTTTTAGAAATAGACTTTTGTTTATTGTTTTGCGTCCAAAACTTTGCGTTTTGCGAGAAATGGAAATGGAAATGGAGCAAAACAACTCAAACAATCATCATTGCCGTCGTTGCTTCCGTTGTCGGCATTCTGTTACTTGTCCTCTGCATTTGGATCTCTTTAAGATGCAAAAATTAAGCCAAGGGAAAATGAGGAACGTAAGTAATAATGCGTTTGAAATGCGCTCCTGCAGTGGAGATTTAGTTTAATCTTACTCCCATGTATTATGTATTGCTTTTGCTTTCGGCAGCTGCTGATGGATTGAGCACGGCTGAGTCTTTGCAATATGACTTAGCCACTGTCCGGGCAGCAACTAAGAACTTCTGTGAAGAAAATAAACTAGGACAAGGTGGATTTGGAGCAGTTTACAAGGTAATTGATGTTATAAATAAGAGAAGAACATTACTCTGGTATTCATTATACTCACATTTAGTTATTATATCACTCTGCTTTATATACAGGGCAAGCTTCCGCATGGACAAGATATAGCTGTAAAAAGGCTATCTAGGGCTTCTAGACAAGGAGATTTAGAATTCAAAAATGAAGTCCTCTTTGTGGCCAAACTTCAACATCGGAATTTGGTTAGACTTCTTGGCTTCTGCTTAAAAGGAGATTAAAGACTTCTAATCTATGAATTTGTGCCAAACACAAGCCTTGGTCATTTCATTTTTGGTATGTGCCTTTTAGTTTTTGCTCTTGATTTGACTTCTTTACTTGCATGAGAATTCTTGTTTTCGAATAATTCATTGTGAACTCAAAGCAAGTAACATTTTATTAAATGAAGATATATGAATCCTAAAATTGCAAATTTTGGCATGGCAAGATTAGTTGTAAAGGATGAAACACAGGGCAATATGACTAGAATTGTGGGAACTTTGTAAGCATTAAAAAGGAGTAAAACTTTGAATTGTTTCTTATACAAATAAATAGTCAAGTAGCTTTGTTCGGTTTTGATTGTTTGAAAGTACCAAGAATGGTTTTTTTATGTATTGCATTAAGAAAATACCAAAACATGAGTTTATCATTTTTTATATTGAAATTGATCTCATTGCCTTTGATATACTACAATGGATATGTGGCTCTAGAGTATGCAATGCATGGGTAGTTCTTAGTAAAATCAGATGTATTCAGTTTTGGTGTGCTACTTCTAGAAATTGTTAGTGGTCATAAAATAGTTGTTTTTGAAATGGAGAGAATATAGAAGACTTACTAATTTTTGTAAGTATGAGAATATATACTTACTATGTTTCTTTCTTGTGACAAATATTAGAAGTTCAAATCTTAGTTTGATGTTTATGCACTTGTGCATTTATAACCTTTTGGGGTGCATTCAATTTTGGTGTGCTACTTCTAGAAATTGTTAGTGGTCAGAAAAATAGTTGTTTTCAAAATGGAGAGAATATAGAAGACTTACTAAGTTTTGTAAGTATGAGAATCCATACTTACTATGTTTCTTTCTTGTGACAAATATTAGAAGTTCAAATCTTGGTTTGATGTTTATGCACTTGTGCATTTAAAACCTTTGCAAGCGTGGACAAGTTGGAGGGAAGGGACAGGATTAAATCTCATAGATCCAACTTTGAGGAATGGTTCAACGGCTGAAATGATGAGATATATCCATATTGGTTTGCTATGTATTCAAGAAAATTTTGCTGAAAGACAAACCTTGGCTTCAGTTGTTCTCTTGCTTAATAGCAATTCAATTTCTCTTTCAATGCCCTATCAACCTGCATTTTTTAAGCACAGCCCCATTGAATCAGACACGTCATCCTCACGTGGCTACAATTCATGGGTATCAAACTCAAAGAAATCAAAGGATGAATTAGTCCCCTCCACAAAAAATGATGTTTCAATCGTAGGGCTATATTCTTGATAGTTTTTGAGATTCAAAGGTACAATTAAATTTTATATTATCAATCCAGTTTTGAGTAATGCTAGAATTCGTTTATTAGATGTACTAGAATCTAATATCGTTCTTTCAAATATATACTAGCTTCTTTTTCATAAGCAAAACAACTTCCATTTAATGACCAGTTTATTTATCATGTACTTTTAAAAAAATAATTATTGAATAATAATAATTTATCACTTTATCTATCATGTGCCCTAAAGGCACAAAATAAAAAGTAAATATTAAATAATCTTGAAAAAGATGTTATTTTTGTTTTAATTGCCAAATGTTACATGCTAGTTTTTTTTTTTTTTATTGATCCTTTTTGAATAAAAATCAGTACTTGCATTTTTTTATTCAAAATTTCACATTTTTTTTTAAAATATATCAATTACATAATAATTACTCTTTATCACAACCCTTAGACTATACAAACCCATGATTCAAGTGTATAATTTGATTATATAATTTGATTCATGTCATTTTAA